CGTGCAATAGTGTATTACTTAATTTACATTATCGTAGAATATAAATTCTATCGTAGAATATATATTCTACGATAGAATTAATACACTATTGCACGATCAACTTGCTTTTTGGCTCTTTATGCTCCTGTTTAATAATTTTTATTATTTCACTTTTGCTCACCGATCACTATCCAAGAATCCGCGTTGCTGGATGTGCCATACGGCGTCGATCTCACAGGATTGACGGATCTAGATGTCGACGAATTATATTTGCAACTGCACTCAAGAAATGTCAAAGATACAAGACTGATGTGGGATTTGAATTTGACTGTTATAGGAAGTTATAAATCTTTTCTAAATAAAGGTGGAATGAGTAATAAAGAACAAAGGTGAAAGGTTTAACAATATCTTGCTTTTTGTATCGTTTTATTTTATTTCAAACGATTCGAAAGCTGTAGCTCACCCTATACTACGACGAATAGTGCTCGGGTAGGACGATGTGGAGACGTAATTCTCTCTGCGATTGAATTTTGGCGTTTTTCTGGTCGCATTGGAACTTACAGGTCCAGAGCTCGTCGGAGGAGGTCTCAGAAAACCAGAGTCAAATTCTGCATTGTACATAAAAATAGTGCGCGTAAGAATCGAAAATAGCAAGAGAGAAATGCAGAATAGAGCGCTGATATGTTGATATGAAAAATTGACATAAATAATCGTAAAAATTAATACGGCTTCGTGTAATTGGATTCACGAAAAACATTGTTAAAAGTCGAGCGTATAGCTTTGTACACAGCAATAGCTTTTTTCGCGATTGAATACATAAAATCGAGAGATATTAAAATTTTTAGGTTGGAAATATTAATTTTTCTATGATACGCGATAGCACTTACGATATTTTGGAAAAATGTTTACGGCGCGCTGCGCATTTGGTATCGCCGGAATTCTTCCTCTCATAAAAGCGCGTTGTCCTCTCGGCGGAGCGGTCTGTATCACGTTCATTTTATAAATCGAAGAGTGAAACACTTTGCAATTTGTGAAATTTAGTAGTAGTAACTGAATTTGTCTGCATATAAGCGTCTTTTTCTAGATTCCGTGTCCCGCGTGATAAATTCTGCCAATTAAAATGGTCTTAAGAATCGCTTGAAGTATCATCATGATTGAATAAGACAGGGGTGCAAACACTTGTGACTAACCTTTCATAATAATATATTTATTTGTAATTTCATTCAATGTTATTGCGAATTTTGCAGTAAACGTATCCGCCTCGATTAATAATAATAAATAATACGATCACAATTACTATTTCTTTCGAAATAAATATCGCTTTATCTTTGCTTCATATAGAATTTAGTTACAATTGTATTTACAAGCATTATCAAATCGATTGTCAATTCGCGCGACAGTAAATAATTTACGTGAATTTACGTAAAATTATCTAAACGACGCTGTGTCCGCGTCGCAAAGATAACGCGCGATGTACGATGGTTTGCGCGAAATTTCGCTCGATCGATAGTTGTATTTATACATTATTCTTCAAATGCGTAAAGTTTATGGAGAATATATTGCGCCAATCCCGAAAGAATTAACGATCTATATGTATATTAATAGTAAATTAATCGCGATTAATATATCGCTTCTTACATAATTCACAGATATACATATCGTATCCACAGTTAATTTCTGGACGTGACGTACACTCGTAGCACTTAAGTTTCACGCTTGACATCGCTTATCAATAACTTTGACGCGTATAACGGCACTAATTATTTAAAAAACCTGACGCAAATTGCAAGAGTAAATAAAGACAAAAAAACATTCGTACAAACTATCTCAAACATAAATAATGCAATGCTAATAAAATTCACATGAGAGACTCAAGTGTCTGAGATATCTTGAAAAATTACTACTTAACAGTAATAGAAGAAATACATATACACGTGATGCACCACTTAATATATCATTTTCATAGCAAAGCACATTGTGAAACTTTGCCAATCCAGGGAGACAGCAAGGTTCCATCCGATTTCATACAGATATTTATGTTATTTGGCCTATGATGGGAAAATTTTACATTGTGCGTGGCACCGATCATCATATAATTGACGGCACCGTTTCTCTTGACTTTTACTATCGTGATAAAATTTACAATGCCGTAACAGTAGTCTCAAACTGATCGTTAATGTAATATTTATCACAATGCATGTAAAAAATATATACGGACATGTAAACCTATATACACACATACATTTACGCACTCATACAGACACACACACACAGATAATGCATAACGATATGTATACATTAAGAGACGCGCAGTAGATTAAAATTTATCACATCGTGTTTTTTTTTTTATCGAAGAGTTCTTACATAAAAAGTTTTTTAACGTTAAGAACGCTATCTTTCGAAAAACTTTCAAGTGTATCGATTGCTCGCGACAACCTATCGTGATAAATCCAGCGACTTTACGCCCGTAAAACGCCATGCACAGTCATGATTTTTATCCTAACAATCACTTTTGTAGCATTTGTTAAAAATAATATTCTCGCATAGCCAATACCAATCCGCGTACGAGGATCGAGCGGTATCGTACGCATGCTGCAGAACAACCATGACGATGTAAAGTGATTATTAAAATATAAATTTGAAGACAGACCTTAACTATATATAGTCACCTTAATAGATATTTAAAATTTAGTCGAGTTACCCTCGCATATACATTTTATGTACAAAAAATGTCACAATCACAATTCACAAGTATAATAATATGTATATAATTGACACAAGGCAAATACTACATGCGATATACACACATATATATATGCATATACATATATATTTAGATTTGTGTATAACCGCTAAAGAACTTTCTTACGTTTCTTCAATACAACTTGATTGAGTCAAGTTTCCGCTGCCTCCAGAAAAAAACCCGTCTTTTATTTTATTTCTTTTTCAAGAAGTAGAGTCCGACTATTTCAGACTGCCTTTCCAGAATAACCTTTCCGCTTGTTGCAACGACTTGTATTAAAAATTAATCCAATTCAATGATCAATCAAGTGTCGAGAGTGTGATAGATGCACTTTCTCTTTTAATTTATTACAACTGATGAATATAATATAATGAATATAATATAATAATAAAGTGGTCAATGATGGGCTCTTTGGCACGTTGGCGAGTGACGATTGATTCAATAATATCGGTGTACAAACTTAGACGTAGATTCACCGGATGCGATCCAATATAATTATTTCAATATAATACGGGATATATAAATTTGATATGGGTATATTTTTAAAGAAGTGTGTGCGTGCGACGACGGCAGCACCGCGTGTGCATTATTAAAAGGCGGTATAGAAATATCGAGTAATTGAATTCGAATGTATTATACGTGACTTTCAAGGGGTACCTTAAACACCTTCGACGCGAGATTCGCGTCCGGCAACGATTGCGGCCGCGCGGCATTGGTTACGTTGAAGACGACGTTACTGGGTCCGCGAAAGCTCACTTCGATCAGGAAACTCGTGTCGGCCATATTGACCCGATTAGTGCTGAGATCGGGCGAACTGGTTCTGAGCTGGCTCTTCTTCGGTCTGTAATCGCTCCTGATGATCCTCTCAGTCTCGGATTGCAGTTTATTATCGAGCCAGTGCACTTTGTCGAAATCCTTGGTACCGCCGACCGTGTGTCTCCGTTTAATCGATCGCTCCGACATTCCGTTCTTCCGCTTCAATTTCGTGGCGCTCTCCTTTCGCACCGATTGCCGCCGCTTGCTGATGTTGCACTCGGTTTTCTCGGTTTTCGTCAGCGACTCCGAGCGCTTCAGTTTGCTGCCCGGTGACTCCGATCGGTCGCCCGAGTGCTTGTTCAAGCTTTCAGATCGCTTGAGCGGCGAGAGCCTTTCGGTCGAATGTTTATTTAAACTCTCCGATCTCTTCAGTCGCGAAGTAGTGTTCTCGGGTGTTCTTTTATTTAGAGATTCCGATCGTTTTAGACGGGATCTCGCCTCGGAATTCGTCAAGCTCTCGAATTTTTTCAGCTTGTTGGAGTAACTGGAATCTCCGGTCTCGTAATGATGGCTCTTGCCGTTGTCTTGAAATTTTCCGTCGACATCGTTATTTTCCGATATGTCTTCCTGAATATTCCTTTCGCTCGTCAATTCGTAACATTTTGCATTTTCCACGCGTATAAAATCTTCCCTCTCGTCCGCATCTCTCCCGTTCTTGTCCTTCTCGCTAAAATCCACCGCTCTCTCCGTCGTATGATTTGGCTTTGTCTCCGCTTTTAGCTTATCGTTATTCGGCGTGACAGACTTCAAAGGATGCGGCGTGTCATCGGTTATCGTTGAGTCGGTGTCTTTTTCCGGGGTATCCTGCAACAATCGAAACGAAAACGATGATAATTCTGTCTGTTGAGAACAATTCAATAATTACTTGTTTTTATCTATTTCTTATATGTTGATATACGTTTTAAAAAAATGTCTTGTTTAAAACGTTGTTTGACAACGTAAAAAAGAGCTTGAAAGGAAAAGACTCGATCGAACTAATAATTTACGTTTTTCGTGCGGGAGAGATGGTTCTTCTCGAGCGACTTGTGAAGACTAGGATCGCGATAGGCTTCCGTAGGCGTGGGATACTTGAATTTCGGGGATGCGCTCGACTTTTGCTGCTGCTGCCGCTGCTGCTCCGCTGCTGCATCGCCTCTGTTGCAGGATGTAGATTCCAGAGGAGTTTGCGCCTGATTCGACGACTGATTAATGAGAGACCTCCACTTGCGATCGAACGTAGTCGTAAGGCTGGTTAGAAGGTCGCTACCTGTAACGGGAGATTGATTCGAGTTAATCGCGTGCAAAGTGCGCGCAGACTCTCACGCAAATTCATACACCAAAAACACTCAAAGCACCGATTTGTTACTATATAACGTCATTATTATAACAGATATAATTCACGACTGCAATCGCTAAACAAAGTGAATGCCAGAAAGTGCCAATATGCGCTTCGTTTATCACAGCTGGTGAATTCTCGCGTGAATGCATTCCCGCAAAATAAAATTGCAACACAAAAAACACCGCAGTGAAAATAATATAAACAATAATAATGAGCAGAGCGTCGTAACATGGTCGATATCACGCGTGAACACGACTATTAATAAAGAATTAATTAATAAATAATCATCTTCATTCTCATCAGCGTCGTTATTGGCGTTTATCACGCCGTCGTCATTAAAATTGTCACTGTTTCGTCAACTGTACAGCATTCTGTATTACAAATTGATAATCGCAACAACAACGCAATCAGCATTATCGTCGGTTTCTCTTTCCTTTTTCGTATGTTAAAGCATAGAAACAAACTTGAAATGTTATGAATCCTCCTTAGACTGCTGTTGAGGAAACAACATAAACAAAATGTGTATTGTTAGATGCGATATATTGCGGAAAATAAAAAGATACGGAAGGAAGATAAAAGAAACGATGTGCCATAATGCGTGAAAATCTCCGAAAACAATATTACTAAAAAAAACATACACAGTTCAAAAACTTATCCCTTGAAAGATATACCTAAAGTATTGCTGTCACTCGTCTCCGATAATGAGACAATATATTATTGCGTATACAGCGGGGTGAAAAAACGGACGGCAGCTTCAAAATGGCATTTGCTTCTCCGCGCGAGGAAGCTATGAAAATTCGCTCGCATTCTTCTCGCTGACAGTCGCGATATATATGTATACACACACGCATACGCACATATATACATATACACATCGCGTATGAAATATTAACGGGGTTGATTCGATCGCGCTGTCGACGCGCGATTGCGGCGTAAATAGTCGACGAGAGATGATGACACGGACAAATGCGTATGCGAAAAATGGATGATGGACGGCACGCACGTGATAGAACGGTTAGTCGAAGGAAAGTACAAACAACGGCGTGGACGCGTGCTTAGTAGTGTATGTAAACTGAAAAAAGTGTATAAAGCCATTCGAGTGAGCCAGCTGTGTCAGCTCGTTGGACATCTCGGATGCTGGATGTGGCGGTTTTCAGACTCTGGTCTGGCAGCGGACCTAGAATTTACCTCGAAGAAATCGATTTAGAGTCTTGGCGGTGGCGGTGAGCCCCGAGTTTGGCACAGCGGCGGGCTCGTCGTTCGCTGATCGCGCGTCTCTTGCGCATGATGACGACGATGATGATGATGTCGATGATGGGGGAACTGCTGGAGACGCGACAGCAGTTGCCAGCGATGGTGCTGCTGCTGCTGCGGTTGCGGTAGCTGCTGCGGTTGCTGCTGGCACTGACACGGGGACGGGCATTGGCATTGGGACCGCTGCGACCGGCACTGGCATTGACATTGGCGACTGGACCGGTGTCTTCGGGGTGGCGCTACCGGGACCTGCGGTACCGTACAGGTGGGACGATATGTACCACCAAAAACCCGGGCTTGCGGTGTGCCTGTACGTGGTGGGGTTGAACCATTCGTTCGTCATTCGCATCGTCATAATTGCGGTGGTTGCGGCCAGCGGAGCAACTCTCTTTCTCTCGTCTTCCTCCTTTGCGTCTTGACCCGCCGTGCACGTTTCTATGGTCTTTCTTATCCGAGGTGCGTTCTCTCGATCCGATTTAGCGCGCCGATTGCTCATTGTCGCGCGACCCAACGGAAATAAATAACGCGCGCCACGGGGGGAGGGAGACAAACCGGAGAAACCGTAACGTAAGAAAGAAAATGAAAAGAAAGAAAAAGCGGATTGAGAGCGGGGATAATCGAATCTGAGGATCGAGTTTTGCGCGCGCTCGACGGATCGGTATTCTCGTTCCTTCGTGGCCCCGAGTATCTTGGAAGGAATATCACCGTTTTTCTTCAGCCCGAACTACACTCGTATTCTTTTCGGGCGTGTCTGATCGCAAAGACGTAGACTGAGGCGGACAGATAATCAGTTTATCATTAAAAGCACCATTTAATCGGCAGAGGCAAAATCGGTTAACGATAGAACAGGCAGGCAGACGAGCAGTCAGATAAGTGATTTTGAGATGCACACGTGTGTGATAAGAAGGTGCGACACTAGATTACTTCCATTAACAGTAAGAGCCAGACGCGCCATCGAAATATCGACAAAAGTGCCTTCAAACTCATCGTTAGAAAATTGCTTGCAACTTGCTCGCGATGGCACGGAGACGTGATTCTTCTAAGAAGATTCATGATCTTTGTGGAACAACAAGCAACGATCGAGGAATTATTTGAAGCGCTCGTGAGATTCTCGAAGGACATGCATGAGATGAGAGATTATTTATCCGACAGCTTTTGCGTAGTCGACATGAAAAAGGTTACGCTCTCCTTTGCTCTTTCTCTTTCAGCGATTTTCGCAATCTGAGAATTTGTTTTCCAAGAATCAAAATAGCTAAAAGATCATTGGTTTTCGAAAATATATTCTCCCATCGAATATCGGACACATTCATAGAATCATTAATGGAAAACATCACACCTTTTTGATGACGACTACATTTACAAGAGCGAATTACTGAAGATCGCAGAAAGCAGTCAATCGTGTGAAATAAATCTCTTTTTTTTTTTAACGCCGAAAGCCGAAGACTGACATGCAGCACATGACAACAATGAATAATAGAGGATCGGCCAAAAGACATTCCCCTGAAAACCATTTTCCTTTTCATTCCCGCAGTATCCTCTTTGTGGCTGACCCTCTTTGCGTTTAATCGCGGATATGTGATAAAGATAGTATTTTCTAAAATTAAGTATGCTTTCATTGCAAGAAGCTTTGTGTGTTGTGTTCGTACTAATATGCGAAAGTTGCTACGTTCCGAATCGTGTTCGCGCAACGATAATGTAACAAAATAAGAGTTCGGACGATTAGTTCCGAACAATGATACGTGTGTGTGTGTGTGTGTCTTTGTGTGCACGCGCGCGCAATGACTCTGTACAACATACATCTGATAATTATATAATAATCCAAAAGACTGCTTGAAGCAAATAAGAAGAGGAATGTACCTAGAAAGTCTTTTTGTTAATAGTGAGTATCTTCTGTGTCCACTGCAGAAAACAAGATCCTGCTACACTCACCGATCGTCAGAAGCAATATTACATAGAGAAAAGATACAAAAGAGAATATGAATAGGTAGATATATAACAGGAGAGATTGTACGCGTTGTAATTGTACGCGCGGACTTGAGAAATCGAATGTATTTGCGGAAAAACGTCATACGTTTCTAAGAATCGCTAATTACACACGAGAAATGTTGAAAATATGACAGTTGTCCCTCTAGCGTTGCGTAACGCTATTTTTTTTTTCACGCAGCTCGAAACCTACACACGCAACGTACACGAATATATTTATCCCTTGCACTTTGACTGCCAGTGTCGTTTCATGTACCAAATTGAATTCCCACGCGCGTCATTCGTCATAAAGTATTTCGAGATATTCCCTGCCGAATAGCGAGTACAAGAGAATCATGTTCGCGTGTTGCAACACTGCTTCACAGATACACTTTTACAGGTTTCTCGCAATATATATAATATATATATATATAAATATATAACTATTCCGAATATATTGACAGCACAAAAGAATCGCTTCAATATCTATCACAGCGTCGAGTGCATACGAAAAGACTCAGAATAGTGATTTGAAATCACGATTTGAAATTAGAAGGAAAAAAAAATGCGATACTAACCATCATCCGAGACGTCGCCGGGGACGCCGCGCTGTTGTTGCGACGGTGACGGGGAGGACTGCGACAGATTGTGAACCTCGTGCAAGGAATCTAGACTCCCGTAACGGACTGGCGGCAAACAGATCGATTCCATCGATGGCTGTAACGCCAAAAGCGGTTCACATAAGCGAGCGAAATTAATCGATCAGAAATGACAAGAATCTTAATCAGCTTACATCTTTGTCCGTCTTGAATTTCTTAATGACGCCGTTATTCATCTTCTCTCCCAATACGTTAGTCAACTGATTGGTGGCTTGCGCTTTATGGTACATCGTGGGCTGCTGCTGCACGGCTATCGACAGCGGCGGTCTCGTGGTCGATCGCGATCTCCCGTGCCTCTCCGACAGATCGATCAGTGATTTATCACCGAATCTTTCGTTCAGACCAGACAGACGTTCCGACAAGAGGCTCGGCGACACCGTGGTGTCGACGATACTGTCGAGAAGATCGTCGTTTTCCATCTCTCGTTTCGCCAACTGCCACTCTATTTCGATTCTTCGTCTCTCCTCTTCCCTCTTCTCGGCTTCGAGTCGCTGCCGATGTTGATCTCTTTGCAGCATCGCTTTTGTTTCTTCCTCGAACTTTCGCACTCGCTCCTGCGTGGTCGCGCTCAAACCAGCGTAGGTCAAAATCGTTATCTCGTCGTTGCTTTGCTTCGTCTCGTTGGACGAAGAGCTGGATTCGGTAGGGATCGTTTCTGTCAGACTCGAACCAGTTTCGCTCGACAGTCTCGGAGAATCGATGGACGAGGGCGCGGACTGATTCAAATACTTGAAACGATACGACGGGGACGCTCGATTCGACGAACTGCCGTTATTGGCATCAATTGACAGAGATCGCTCGGAACGATCCGCAGACTGATTTGATTGATTTTTGCTTTCGTGCATCTGCACAATTTCGCTGACGGAACACTGTCGCTCATTCAAGGCCATGCTCTGCCTAATTATTGGCAAATTCTCCGATTCTTGCTTCGATTTGTCCTAATATTAAATTCTTTTGTTAATAAAATTCAGGATTTTTTTGTGCGCGCGTTGCAATTAATACTAACCTTGCCATTGTCGTGTTCGCCGTTATCGATTTCGTCCTGAGTCTTTCGTCTTCTCTGAATTTTCTTGTTCGCTGCGGATATGATTGAGGATACAATGTCCCTGGCCGACGCCATGTCGCGCATACCTGTTTTATTACAAAGAGAGGCGAGCAGAATAAATATACTATTGCTACAAGTAAAATATACAGTAACTTCGACTATTATTTTTAAAAAGATACAAGTGCGAGAGAAAGCAATTGAATAATATGAAATACCTTCGATTTTCTGAATATTGTTCAACAAAAGGCTGTGATTGGTATTAGGTGGTTCAACTTCGCAGCTGTCAACTGGCAAGTTTAAATTTACGCTGAGTCTGCTCAAGTCGTCCAAATCGTCCTCCGAGAAGAACCAATCGACCTGTTCGAAAACATGTTGATATTTTGATATTTCACTCGTATTTTGTTCGGAAGATTGTATTTCCTTTTCTTATCGCCAACAACTTACGTTGTTCAGCAGACTCTCGACTATTCTACATTGATGCGACATATCGGTGACCATGGTGACCATATTGTCTCTTGATCCGCTCGCTCGCACCAGCGTTGGTCCGAAAACGATGGCTAAATTCTTGGCCTCCATCTTGTTGATCTCGCTGTGCTCCACTATTTTCTTCAAATGCTGCATTAAATACTTGAGCGTCTCGAAATGATGTTCCGGAAGATCTCGCAATAATTTTCGTATCGTCGTCATTCTCCGTTGCGGATCTTCTATCTTATCGGCGTCGATGAACATGGGATACAGTTCCGCCGTGAGCAAGGAATCGGGAAGTTGACGGAAAAACGATTTCAACAACGACGATATCACGTTAACGTCACTCCATCTTGGATCCTGGAAGCAAATCATTTTATAAAGACATTCGCATTACAGTGACATTTCATGCGAGAAAAAAATTATACATCGGTAAGATGTGTTACGGTTACCTGAAGATTGATGTTTTCGAATCCTCTGTTGACGCTGTCGGTGAGCTGAGCGATCGCGGCGGTGTTTCCGGGTACTCTGTAGATTCCCACAACCTCGAGGCCTCTCGCTTCAACGATGCTCGTGCACATCTCGACGATTAGCGGCACGCATTCGGAGAACGAAGACGGCGGACAAAGTTCGAGAGGCATCTTGAAAGTGGCTCCTTCGGGCGGCAGCTGTGCCGTGGGCGAGGAAGGCGCGCCGCCAGCTTGACCGTGCATCCTCCTGAACTGCTTCGCCACCCTTCCCTTCCAAGTTTTCGACTTGGGCGACGATAAGGACTCCATCACCTGATTGCTCGGCTTGCGTGTCTTATTCACTGGCGACTGACCGGTCGGCGAGCGGTTTCTGAACGACGTTAACTTCTTGATGCCCTTGTGACTCGGCAGAGGGCTCAGTCTTTGACTGTTGCTCGAAGGAACGCTGCTATTTGGGCTCGTGGAACCCGTCGGAGTTTGCGGAACGGCCTGTTGCTTTGACGTGCAAGATACGGCGTCCTATAAATGTATTAAAAAAAAAAAAATGTAAAAGAAACTCGTCAAGTGACATTACAAAGTCGAAAGTTAAGAAGAAGACATCTCTTTTCACTGCTTTTATTTTAAATAGTGATCTTATTTCGCACGAATAGAACGTCTTGCAATTAGCGCTCACCGATGATTTCTCCGCGGCGGCGTGAGAATGAAGTGATCTCAACCAGAGTGCCATAGATGCCGCGTCCTCGGTTTGCAAAAGCACTTCCGCTGTAGGATTCGCCACTCGTAACACATGTTTCCGTTTAGTGTAATCCCCGGCGACATCGACCACGGAACATCTAACGTCGATGCTGTGCCCGATATTTGTCTCGTTCTCGGTGCTGAGCGAAGGACTCTGAAATTAAAGTATGAATATATATCTCTTTTATATTTTGTTCGAGGACGCGTTTGTTTAATCGCTATTCACCTGACTATGACGATCCTTGTAGAAGTAAATTATAGGACCACGGAGGACACCCCAGACTTGCTTCCAGGAACGATCGGTAGATCGCTAAAATCATTATGAGTACAGTTTAAAGATAAATCGTGATCATCCCACCGATTTTTTGTTCTTTTTATTGGGTTTGTCATCTCACCTTGCCATCGAGCACTGTGAATTTGACATGTAGGGTACCCTCTCGCTCCGGTTCGAGATCCTTCGCAGTTCCATCATTGCTATCGTGTGTAATAGAGATACTATTACTGAAAAAAAAAAAAAAAGATTTATCCGTTTGAGTCTGCTGCTTACAAGTACACGAGTACAATATGATACAATGCCATTATTCAGAGATAGCAGAAGAAATTTTACGACAATGCTACAGTATTCACAACTAAAGTTCTATATTCTCGTCTTTCTTCCTAAACGACACGGAAAATAGCGATGTCATACCGATCTTCAGCCTATTAGTGGGATTCTGTTAGTAACAATAAGCCCATAAATCAGCATCTGAGAAAGAATATCAACATATTCACCTACATGAAATCTAGACTAGCACAAACATCAACAATATCGAGTTTGAAATCGTAGAGCCGTGAATATATACGTTTTTTATTATAATATTGGGATAAAGTTTCGAAAAGCCCACACCTCCGGTTTGCTCCAAACTACGCTTTTTATTGTATTTTTGCGCGCTGATTACAAATATGACCATGCCGATTGGCGACAAGGTCATTTTCAAAGTCAAAACTTGAAAAAATTCAAAAATTATCGTTTCTTTTAACATTATCTTGATAAATATTGATGCAATAGAGAAATGTTTCAAATAAAAGTTGTAGCTCTTGAAAGAATACATTATTTATGTCCTATGCATTTTTTGCATAGAACCAATATTTTTCGATAAAAATGAGATAATGCGTTGTAAAGTGTATGCGTGGATTCAGTGGGTTTCGCTCCACTACTACAACACTATACACATAGGTTTGGGCTGGACCTCGTTTTGCGTGGAAAGTGTATGCGTGGAGGCATTGTGTTCCGCCCTCCTGCGGGGGGCTCCACCATAAAAAAACTATACACATGGGTTTAGGTTGAAACCTCGCTTTGCGTGGAAAATTGCAAACCCATGTAGAATCTCGCTTCACGTGGAAAATGTATGCGCGGAGGCATTGTGTTCCGCCCCCCTGCGGGGGGCTTCCATCACCAGAAAACTATACACATGGGTTTAGGTTGGAACCTCGCTTCACGTTGTACAGTGTATGCGTGGATGCCCCCCCGAGAAAGCGGAACCCACTGCATACTGTCTTTCCTATTATCTTATTTTTTCGAAAAATATTGGTTCTATGCAAAATATGCATAGGACATAAATGATGTATTTTTTAAGAGCTATAACTTTTGTTTGAAACATTTTTTTGTTACATTAATATTTATCAAAATAATGTTAAAAAAAGCGATAATTTTTGAGTTTTGACTTTGAAAATGATCTTGTCGCCAATCGGCATGATCATATTCGTAATCAGCACGCAAAAATACAATAAAAAACGTAGTTTGAAGCAAATCGGAGGCTTTTCGGAACTTCACCCTAATATTGTATAAATAAGGAAGCATATTTTATCTAATATCACTTGCTAACAATAAGCACATACAAATTTCGAAGTTGTAATATATTCGGATTGCGTCTTAATTCAATTCTCCTGACTCTCTCTCTCTCTCTATATATATATATTCAATTTTATATAATATATGCAATTTTCTGAATTTTTCTACTCTTTATTTCATACTTAATCGAGTACTATTATTTATTTCGTTTATCAATTTTATTGTGACTCGAATTGATTTTTTAATTCGCTCTTTCGTAAATAACATTTCTTAATGTTACTTTTTTCAATTCAGAGTTGTTTATATCTTTCAAACAACTTGGTTTACTTAATATTTGGATAATCAAATTTTCTATTTCAAGCATTTTTTAAATTTATTGTGTAATCTATTTAATTTTATGTTGTACGTTTTTTTAATTTTTACATTCCACAGAAAACGCGATTGGTGTGAAAACACATCGACGATTTCTTCTTCTCATTTTAATGCAAACATTCTGCATGATAACATCGGAAGACGACACACGAAGTACGTACAGTCGTCATGCTTCTATCGCTACAACGCGATTATTATTCACTATCATTAGGCAGTTAAGTAGCGCAAAACGTAAACACAGGAACGGAGGGCGCATTGAGAGCGAGAGCGGATGTATATTAGCTTAGAGGAGCCAAACGCGGAGCATAAATACGCAACACTTTTCCCGTGCTTCTTAAAAGCATTTTTTTCGCCCTCACCGATGATGAGAGTTTCTATGTAAGGACGCGGCCTGTGTCATATCTTCAAAGATGCGTCGTAGAGGTGTTATGTCGCTCGGAAATAATGGTGGCCGCCATCGTCTATGCTCACTAGAAACATGGACACGGAACATGTGCAGTTTCCAAATATACTTACAGTCAACACCCTTTGAGGGAACAAAGCGAAATTGCCACATCGCCCGTTATCTCGTCTCATACGCACAAACGTTTTAATATAAGTAGAAAGTGGGAAGGGATTGTCATCGACAATCTCTCTATAAGTACGTTCAAGAAGGGAAAATTAAACTCATAGCTTGAAATTCTCGCATACTCTAAATGTCAGCGTGGTTTTCTGCAAACTGTGCGAAATGCGCGTCGGAACATCGTTTACCTTCTGTGAATGTGAACGGGCTCCGAATCGCTGAGCTCTAGATCGCTGTCGACGTGCATACGTTCGCCCCACGTAGCCTTCAGATACGAAACTCGTCTGGTAGCGCGATCTTCGTCACCTATTAAACGATTGTACCAATTACAATACGATTGTATCAATCATTTATGGCTTATATCGATTTCATCTTCCGTTTCTTTGTTTTTCAACTGAATTGTTTCGAACCGAGCCTTTCAATTAATTCATCATTTCAACCTTAAGATCCGTGCAGAGGAAGAGTATTATTTTTACGGAGAAAAGATTTTAATAGATTCTAGTAGAAGTGCGCTTATAATTCCGATAAAATACGATCTTCCCTCTCTTTGTGCCCGACGCATGCGTCACAATAATTGCACGGTAATGTTAAAAATATCCTTCATCGTTTAAACTCACTGATCTGTGCATTCTTCTGTCGCCTGAGTACGATGGCGTTATTGGTCGTCGAGCCGTTGGACGAAGAACCATTGACTGTCACTGAAAGAGAAATCAATGGGACGATTATTAACGCTTTATGCTCGACCTTTATGCCCCGTAAATGTGTGCGTGTGCGTGTGTGTGCGCGAGCGATGATGCGTCTCTGTTGGAACAAGTGGTTAGCTGCAAAAGGAACTGACCAACTTGCAATTTGGTTTGCGAATAATTACCCTGCTTGCGGGAGGCTTTATTATCGTCCTCAATACTTTCTTCCTCGGCGATCTGCCACGTATGCCTGGCACAGCCGCTTCGTGCCGCCGGGCCGTTTGTAGCTTCCCAGGATTCCGCGCTGTTGCTGCGTGCTCTCAAACGCACCGATTCCGTCTCCATAATGGGCACCTCTGTCCGATCACACGATTAATTAGACGAGATCATTTCCGTCACGATATGTTATTATACTTCTCGTACATTCATATTTTTACGCGCCAATGTCACTAAATATTAAACATGTCTATCGGTTTAACGAAAGTAGCGTGCTACCGTTGTCGCTATGCAGAAGCATTAGTTGTTGCTATTTTAAATTACATAAGAGGCTGAGCAACAAAAACATTGAGTGCGAGAGGGCAGTTAATATCCCCTTTGTGTATAATGCCTATCGATAAATTCCGGTATGCTGTAACTTTATCCAGTTACTTCCGCTTGGAAGCAGAGCGAACAAATTGCGCGTCTCTTTTATAAACCGATGGTTTATAATGAATTATAAGAAGTAAATTTAGATTCGTCTCTATTGTTGTTATTCGAGGACAAAGATCCATCTACGTTTTTAACAAGAAGCGAGGAAATGTGCAAAACAATTATTATACCGTTGTCTGTTATATGATGAACGAGATTATGATACACGAGTTGTTATTATTATTATTACGCGACTTAACGCGGTTACATATATATATATATGCGTAAGTGTGTGTGTATTGCATATTGCGTAGAAATGCAAACAAATCACCAACAACACAAGGAGCGGCACAAGACGAACAGTGCACAAACAGCAGTTGCACACAGTTTCTTAATTTTATCTACCTTTACTCTCTTTATAGTCGGCCGGTGGCGCGCAATGGATATGCTTGCTGCCTATAGGAATTATTCTGTTGCCTGTCAATACTGCACCTAAACGGCGATACTTGTTCACTGAATATTGATGCGAGAGTGCTCTCAATTGGATTTGAAAAACATCGATTCATAATAATTTGTGATATTATAGATTGCTGCATAGGATTTCTTACTCTTCTATTGTCTCAAAGTTCTACTTCGATTTGCATATTTTCCCTCAATTTCGTTAATTTTACTCGTATTTGTCAAGTGCGACAAATTACATTCGAAAAAACCAAAGAGCAATTATATTTAATTTTTTTGATTAAAAAAAAAAGATAACTACGCTTACCAGTGTCGAGAGATTTGGTTTCTCTGTTCGGCAGCCTCCTCTGTTCTTGACTCTCGGCTTTCGATTCGAACTCCCGTTTCCGCACAGCCACATTCGGCACACTTCTCTTGTTCGACAATCTGGACAACTCGCTTTTGTAAAGATTTGTCCGATCACCGGCGGGCTCGTCGCCGTCGCTCATCAGACGACCGGACTCGAACTGTTTGGCGCGCCTCGAAACGATCTGCAGACCCTGCGGCGGCACCGGAAACTTCGTGTCACCCCCCTTCTTGTCCGGTCCCGGCGATGACGGCAGCGACGAAGAACCGTTTCTCTCGTCTTGTTGCAACGTCTGCTGCTGATTCGCGCTAATATTCTCGTGTATCCTCGACAAAATACTGACGAGGTTACTCTTGTTCGCGCTCTTGTACTGCTGCTCTTTTGCCAGCTCGTTGTCGTAGGGAAGTGACGAGTAACAGTGCTCGGCGATGATAGATTGATTGTCTTCGAGCTGTTGATCGTTTCGCGGCTTGGAGTACTCGGAGTTGGAGTCCACCTCTTTTATCCTCTGCACGTTCTGATTCGACGGCTTGTTCGGCTTGGCGGCAACAACATTTCTTTCCTGAGATCTTCTCGTGGGGGATTGCTGCCTTTGCTGCTCGCACTGTCCGGGTGGCCAGATCGATCTCTGCAGCTTCTGCGGCCTCGCGTAGAATTCCCTCTGAATCACCGCGGCTTGGAAGTTGCTCAGCAAAGGCGGCGGCGGCGGCGACGTCGACTCGAAGGACCAGCCAATGGGGTGGCTGGGCCGCCGCAAGAACTCCGCTTTCTGTTCGAAGCTCTTGCGGAGTCTGTTCATGATGACGGAATCGTCGGAGCACTCGTTACCGGTGAGGGTCGACGTGGAGTCGTACGGCGACGTGCTGTCCTTGCTGGCGGCGGGCGACGAGTCTCGTCTCGACTCGATGCTCAGCCTGCTCGATTCGCTCGATCTCAGCGCGTCGATGCTGCCGTAGCTCGTCTCCGAGTCGTTGGCGGTCCCGCTGCCCTCGCTGGCGCGTCGCGACACCATCCGCTTGGCCGGCCGGTAGATCGGCACCTGCGGCTCCGCCTGCGACATCGGATAACGCAGCAAAGACGGTTGGTAATAATGCTGCGGGTGGTGCTCGCTGACACGCACACGCTCGTAAATCGGATCGTTAATTCTGTCGTAGAGCTGCTCGTTGCTCGGTCGCGAGTACACCGACTCGGGTCGCGTTCTGTCGTACAGATCGTACTTGGAGTCCTGAGACGAGCGGCTGTTCGATTTCAGCGCATCCTCGCGCACCAGGTGCAGCTTTCTCCCCGCAGCTCTGGCGTCCTCCGAGGGATCGTGTAGCGCGCCTGCTTCCGACTGCGCGTCTCTTCGTTGCTGCTGCTGCTGTTGCAACGCACTCGTGATCTGAGTTTCCGCGATCGGTGGAATTTGAGACATCGTCGGCGGCATTCTACCGTCCGCGCACGCAGCCTGCTGACTCCTGCTGATCGCCTCCTCGTGATGATTCGAACTCTCGGATGACGATAAAGAATAGACCCAGGACTGCCGCGTTCTCGGCGACGAGCCTGGCATCATGCTGATGGACCTGCGCTGCTTCTGCGACAGCCTCTCCGGGGAACACAGCCGCGGGCGTTGATTCGTCTCGGGATTGTGCGCCGTCTCGCCGAAGTACTAACGAATTTGAGAAAAATACTTATCCGTCAATTCGTATTTATAAAATTTTCTCCCCCCTCCTCTCGCAAGCGTGTAAAAAAAAAGGTCTTACGTACCCTCTGCAAAATGTCGTCTTCCTTGGAGACGACGAGGAGACGCAGCCACGGGCCCGCTTGTTGAATGCGTTGCACCACACTGGCGTACTGCTCGCCCCGAGTGGGCATTCCATCGACGGAGACCACGCGGTCGCCGGTGCGCAATCCCGCCTCGGCCGCCGGCGAGTTCGCCCGCACTTGTTTCACGAAAATCGTGTCCATAGGCTCGTCGATCTTGGTCCGCTCGTGTCCCGGCAGCATCTGCAATCAAAGGGCGCGTTTGTTAGACTCTGTTTTATCCTCGCTCGACTTTGCGTGCGATTGTCGCCGGTTGATACTCACGCAGCAGGACTCGGGCGGATAGACGATGAAGTGCCGCAATGTGAATCCGTAGCCATTCTCGCTGCGCCTGAGCAAAAGCGTGCGGGGACCACGAGGCGGGGAGTTCTCCTTTTGAACTGATCTGGAGGACACCGAACCGCCCGGACTAGAGCCCGAATCCGGCGCCGACAGCGGGGGGGATGAATGCCCTACCTGTGATCAATCATCAATCGATCGTTATCAATTAATTAAAAGCTCGAGTCGGTAAATAATCTTTCAGGAATATTTTTTGAGGTACAGGTGCTTCCAAAAGATCGATGTCTCGAAATTCAAACGGCTAGTAAGCCAAACGTCGGCCTCATTCGAATATGCTACATTGGGGGTTTTTTTTTTAAGGTACAAAACAACAGTACAACATTTCGTTCGCATATATTTGCACGTTCTTCGAGTGGTACATCCAAACCATTTGATAGAAAACACGATTTTATATCGATTTGATTCACCAATCAAGTTTTCGATTACTCGATATCGATGATAAGCACACTTGAGCAAATCGCAAAAATACACACACGCACACACACGCGCTAGCGCGCGTCTTGCGCGTCGCAAAGCTCCAATACCAATGTGTGTTAATAGCTATTCGTTTCAAGCGGCTAACAAACATCGCGCAGCTGTCAAATATTGAAGGCCGGATTAGGTTCGAATTATCGAAATAGAATTCCGTTTTCACGCGCTGATCGTATATTTGCGTAACATTGATCAAGTCCTTCCGCCCCCTCCTTCCATTCTGCACCGTCTGGGTAGGCTGGCTAGGACTAGAAAAGTTGGTGCAACGCGAAAATGCGCCAGACAGACTCGTGGATATTCGCCAAGAATTATTCCAAGCCGACCCCAAAGTGGAGGTGGCGGTGCTGGAGAGATGTCGAGCGGTCTCGTTCTTTCGAGTTGAATAAAGTTTGGCGAACCGCCAGGGAATACGACGGCACTAGTTTGCTGTAATGCGCACCCAGCATCGAGACTTTGAACGGAATTTGCTTCGTGAAATTGCTCGTTAAAAATCGAGGGAAGTGTTTCTGGAAGCACGCGCGAAGATAAGAACATTTATTCCCGAGACACGTTTATTATTGAGAAAAGTTGAATTCAAGATTTCGAATGTTCAAAGTTCAAAGTTCGGATTTGTTCGATCGAGAGATTTTCTTTCGGAAGAAGATAAATATTTTGGAATCCTCCTCGTATATTAGCTAGGAGAATGTGATATTTGAAATGTGAAGGAAAAAGCGTGCAGGCAATAAAGTAAACAAAAAGAAAATAAGAGCGAGAGGCGCGTTTCACGGTTTTCCATTTTCCGTCGACGACGCGTGCTTTGTTCAATCGTTTCGTTTGATATTCGGAACGATATTTGATACGAGCGACGCGGTGCGCAGCAATAAAAAGGACCGAATATCGGGATTTGTCATGCGAGGCAGTCGCATCCCTCGTATTGTTTGACGCCGTGCAGTTTTCCGGTATTCGGCGAGTGAGCGAAGTAGGTCGATCGGATGTTCCTCTGTACGGGAATACAAATAGTACAAACGAAGAGCGAATCGATGACGATGTAGGTCAGGAGAGAATAGGCGTTGTCAACGGTAAAATGGGTCGCCGAATCGAGCAATATGGAGCCCGGTCAATAATTACGTGAATACATTCGCGCAATACCTTCGGACACGCGTGTTTCGTCCATTGTCGCGCCCATTTGTAAATCGACATTCAATATCTCGCGTCTTGCGCCCCGACAGCGGAAGAGAGTCGCGCGCGCACAAGCCGGAGAGAAACCGTGCGCTATTGTGCACTTGTGTACATTGAAATCTCTTGTGAAAAGAAAAAGCGTTACGTATGACGTAAGACCGTGCGAGCACGTTAACGAACTCATTTTCTCACCCTGGGATCGCAGTTGCGCTTGAGAGCTTCATCTATTTTAGATTTTTCATAATATTTGCTGAACGAAAGCATTATTTCCGATCGCTCGACGTGGTTTTCAGGATTTTCGGTCAAATATTCAGACTGGACGTTAAATTATCGGATCAGTCATTTTTTAATTAAAATTTATACCAGCTGCTGCTGCAGAATTGCCACGATTTTTCTAATCTTTTACGTTGTATATGTTTTTTATCTTTAAATTAAAAGTATTACATTATAGTAATGTTGAATATAAACGCAGATATTTTTAAAAAAATTTATTCAGATTTCGTCAATTTTATCTTATGCTTCAATCAGTGGACAATCGCAAACCTGTTTGCGTCAACGCTTGCTCGAAGTTCCGATTCCATGATTCGCGAAATCTGTTATCTTCTCCGTTGATTGTTATTTCCGCCTTCAACGAACATGCGGTTTCGACATCGATAACGTCACGTTCACCACCGTCACGACTTAATGTTCGCGTCCGTTTAGAACGAGAATCACTTTCGAGAGCCGTACTTGATTTAATGAGCGAACGACTGGTTTTTAATTTAGGATTTATTGTCAGTTACAAAAACATCTATAAAAAATTGCTAAAAAAATTGCGACGAATTAATTTTTCTAGACATTCTCGTTAAGGAGAAATTATCTCAACAGTCTTGCGGCAATATTTAAGTAAAAATTCTCGGGAATCAGAAAAATCCATTTACTTTTTCACCTTCCTTCGTAAGTCGTAGTTCTACTACGTAGTTCGAGTCGTAGTTCGGAATAACTGAGTACACACACGAAGCATGAAGTAAACATTAGAGACTCACACACAATAAATGAGAAAAAAAAAAACCAATTGTTACGGATTAACTTATGCCGCGTAAACATGCTAATCAAGACGACGAAAGAAAAACACAATTGCGCAACAATACACGACGTAATGAGTATTCCTCTTCCGTTCGTATACACGATAATTATCCTCGGTTCACGCCAATCATCGGCATCGCTCTCTTGCGAACGTTTTTCCTTATGTCGGTGCTAATACCATTCCATACATCCCCGTACAAGTAGCTTATGTAATTTCGTTTTACCAGCGGGCTCTCTTGCGTAAGAAGCGATTCCGACCGAATCGATTCCTAAATAATCGAAGTGTTTTAAACACAAGGACAGATTTGTTTCGCGAAATTAAAAGAGGCACGCTCTCGCGGCGCGCATCGAACGCCGTTCGCGCTTTCGTCACTGAGTCGAGTGTCGGGTGTGCGAAATACCCGCCGAACGGCTTCCGAACGCGAATTACCAATTAAAATGCGAGCGCGCTCCAGAGGCGGAAAAATCGGAGCGGAGAACTGCGCGTCGCTCATTGTGCAGAGCCATAACTGGCACGATGGCGGCACGGCCGCAACCAGCTGGTAATAGGAATCTGCAGGCATGATGCGTACTACTCCCTACCGCGACAACGCTGCGTCATCGTTATCATCACCTCCCACAAAACAACCGCCATCGGCGATAATCGTAGTCGCGGCACGCGTACGTATTCCGGACTCACCGCTACCGTGCTCGACGACAAGTCGAATCCGGTGTGTTCTCTCTCTCTC